ACCTCGAGACCGGCTCAGTTTGTGGTACTCAGTTAATCTGCAAGTGGACTGACGATGACAGAGTCTGCTCCCGTTATTCTCAAATGTGTTATGATTATTTGGTGTTTGAATTCAGGGATTGAAAATGACAACACTACCTACCAACGACAGAAACATGATTTTTTTTAAAAACTGTACACGTTGAGTTAACTGCTGCCACATGAACTGTATAAAGACAATTTCCAGGCCAAGTATGATGATAAATGCTGATCGTTACCGTCAGAATTCAAAGATGACGCTGAAAATGTACTGGCAACCACAACAGGGACTAAAAACTGCTTCATCACTGTTAAATAAAATGCAGACAAGCAACATGAAGAAGAGCCAAAAAGCTTCTCTCTCCGTCGCCACTTGGTCAAGCTCAGAGCACCTGCTGCCAGCCTGGCTGCACGCCGCCTCCACTAACACTGGCATATGGCAAACACACACTTGCATAAGCACATGCATGCGTGCACGTAACTATTTCTGGTTCAGGGGTGTCGGAGTCTGGCAGGCGACTAATATTGTCTGAATGTCACATCTTTATGCATGAATGCACACATGCACATTTGCAAATATACAGATACAAAGAGACACAGTTACATATGCATGCACGCTCACACACAGAGCGGCACACTGAATCAGAGAGGCAGCAGCTGTCTTCTGTCTGCATCCGCAAACAATCCGACATCCAAATCACATATTCAAGTCCTTGAATCCTTGTTTTAGCTGCCTGCTTTTGAGCGATCCAGGCGGGAATCACTGACGGCGTATTCCAGCGTTCACTTATCTGCAGCCGCCAAGCTTCTTCCACCGGTTCTTTGCAGATGTATATATTTTATATTTAGATATTTTTAAGAGGCAATTTCACCATAAATTGAAGTTTTGTGCTATTAAACACAAAGTACAGAGAAAGAGCTGTGTGGGACCAAGATATCAGGGTTAACAAAGATGGAGAAAAAGTGCAGAGCGCTTTTCCAATTCAAGTGCATCAGTAATCACTGTGTTGAAGGTCTTTTGAATTTCCAGCTTTTTTTTCAAATATTTTTTTGGTTTTGTCAGAATGTTTGGTGTGTAGGAATGAATGCCTCCTCTGTTCTCTGGCTTAAATGTGGTGCTCGGCATCGTCTCAAAGTGGAACCCAAAGCTGTTAAGTTACTGCTCATCTGAACTATGACTGAACCGCTGCTTGTGGCTTATGGTGGACGTTTTAATGTTTGGCTGCGCAGAAAATTGTACGCTGAATGACACAAAACTTCTAATATATTCAGAGTTAATTTGATGCTACATATCTTTTTCTTCAAGTAAAGATCGGTTTATTTAGACGGATCATGTCAGGGTTTTAATCCTTTTTGATTTGCCTCTGTTTGATCATTTGCAGTACGACCCGGAGAATTCAGGCTTCATCAGCACGGAGCGGTTCAGAGACCTTCTGGCGACCCACGGCTCCGAGCTGGACCCCCACAAACTGGAAGTCTTATTGGCCCTCGCTGACGGCAATGCTGACGGGAAGATCTGCTACCAAGACTTTGTCAACCTGGTGAGACAAGATGTTTTAACAGACGACTCGCTGACATCTGCATTCAAGAGAAATCCAGAGTTTACTGAGATGCCACTCACTACCATGTGTCTTTATGTTTAGATAATCAGTTTAATATCTTACATATTAGAACATAATGTTTGCATACAGTAGGAAGAACTCACTGACTTAAAACCTGAGTCAGACTCTTGTCTTTAATCTGATGACTCAAATTTACAGAATTAAAAAAGGCCTAAACTGGGCCGCCGCTGTAGCTCACCTGGTTGAGCTGGTGACCCATGTACAGGGGCTATAGTCTCCGATGCAGCGGCCATGGGTTCGAATCCCGCTCATGGCCCTTTGCTGCAACCCTTTCCCCATTCTCCTCCCCCACTTTCCTGTCTCTCCTTCAACTGTCCTATCTAATAAAAAGGCCAAAAAAATAACTTCCAGAAAATTAAAGATTCAAGTTAGAAAACTAAACAAGGGCGCCCCTGTAGCTCACCTAGTTGAGCGGGTGACCCATGAACAGGGGCTACAGTCCCCAATGCAGCGGTTGTGAGTTCGAATCCCGCTCACGACCCTTTGCTGCAGGTCTCTCCCCATTCTTCTCTCCCCCTTTCCTGTCTCTCTCTACTGCTCTAAATAAAGGCAAAAGCCCAAAAAATATATTTAAAAAAAAAAAGAAAACTAAACAAAACTCTGCTACCAACCTCCTCATCTGATTGACCATCAGCATCTAATCATGTTTTGCAAGCATGAGGAAAGCTTCAAGTCCAGGCAGCACATTGTCACGTTCAGTAGCACTGATGTGGTCAACAAACAATGGGCAACAACATGCAAAAACCACTGTTTAGAAATGGCTATTTTTTGACTTTGCCACAGGAAAAACTCAACAAAGGTAGTTATTTGCCTTTAAATTTAAAATTAATAACTACAAACTGTATAGAATCACCCATTTCTGCAAATTCACTGTCATTGCTGTTGGTCAAAACAATACATGCTACCAAATGGTGTCCAATGTCCTGTATGAGGCTCAGAATAGTTCAGGTCTTGACTTGAGTATTGACCTCCTCCGGGACACCTCACCGTCCACGTTCTCTGCACTTGTTTCCTTTTTATCACACATCAAACTTTTTTTTATATAATTTTCCCGTCCATCCCCAGAGCCCACACTCCAAGATCACCTCAGCTACAAGGTGGAGATTCTCCCTAATAGGAAATGACTCTGAGTCTGGTGATAAATTCGGCTCTTAACGCTCACCTTGCCCCACTTTCAGCTTCACCTTCAAACTGCAGCCTGCCGCTGATTGTCCAAGGTCTGATTCAAGTGTCTCCAGCTGTGCTCGCTGCCTCATAACCTTCTCATTTTCTGTTTTCCTACTGTCTCGCTGCTGCTCCTCATGGGGAGGCTGAACTGCTGACCCAAGGCAGTGTGAAGTGGTCTTGGAGTAGGAGTAGTTCTGTGGTAAACAATAACTACTGGGTGGCGGAGAGATGGGTTGGGGGGGGGGTGTGTGCAGACTGCAGGGAATTCATTGTTGTCTGTGAGTGTAAGTATGCCCATCTCTCCCTGCCTCTCTTGTTCTTCAGAGCTGTTTATTGTCTCATACAGTGGGTGAGGAATGAGGCTCGTAGGAAGCTTGGAAAAATGTCAAAAGGACTTTTTGTGGTTGGCTTCCAGTTGGTGTATTCATGTCACGTGAGAGGCTGTGGGTCATGGTGTGCCACTGGAAGTGGGACAGAGAGGAATGGGGTCTCTGCATCTGTGTGTACATTCACTGTTTTTTTTTTTTTTTCTTAGTCACTATTGTGTCCACCCCCCCACACTGCACCCAATGGTTTATACATTCTCACAGGCAGCAGCAGCAGCAGAAGAAAGAAAGAAAGAAAGAAAGAAGGAAGTGACTATTCATGATTATGGTAATATGATGCGTTGGGGCTGAAACTGAAAGTTGTAAATCATTTTTCAAAGCAGAAATGCAGAACATTTGCTTCTTCCAGTTGCTTAAATGTAAGGATTTGCTGCTTTTCATCACTGAATACTTTCAATTTTCTTTTTTTTTGTTGAAAAAAACATGTCTGAAGACTTTTTCGGGTTTTTGGGGGAAAATCTGAGCATTTTTTAAATTACTTCCTGACAATTTATAGACTATTAGGTAATTAAATATAGGTTAAATGTTAGCCTGACATACACTGAATACATTTGTGACCCATCTGCGCCAAATTAGTGTTTGACAGCAATGTGGAGCAGAATTTTATAACGCTCTGTAATATTATATGTTACCTACATATAGAAAACATCCATCCATCCATCATCTATACACCGCTTAATCCTCACTAGGGTCGTGGGGGGTTGGAGTCTATCCCAGCTGACTGGCGAAGGCAGGTTCACCTGGACAGGTCACCAGTCTATCACAGGGCTACACTTAGAGACAGACAACCAAGCACACTCACATTCATTCACACCTACTGACAATGTAGAATCACCAATTAACCTCAACATGTTTTTGGACTGTGTGGGAGGAAGCCGGAGAACCCGGAGAGAACCCACGCTGCACGGGGAGAACATGGAGACTCTACGTAGAAAGATCCCGGTGCCCCCACCGGGACGCGAACCGGCAACCTTCTTGCTGCAAGGCAACAGTGCTACCAACTGCGCCACCCTGCAGCATATAGAAAACAACTAGTAATAATAAGTAATAAACCCCAAATCAATATTTTATCTTGTGTTGACATAATTCGGGCTGTATCTGGGATGTAGCCGAAGGTGCAGTGCGACTGATTTCGTGCACATTTGTGCTGAAAGGACCAGTTGAATAGAAAGTTCATCGACAGCTGAAGTTTGCTGGTTTCAACATGAGTGGATGAGTTGATTTTCTCTCTTTTGATAAAAGTCGTCTTTTAAATGGTATTTTTTTTACTTTTTTGTGAAATGTTAAAGGTCACGCTCATAATGCAGTAGAGTGTGCACCTCAAAGACAGGGGTCAGATCTTCTGGGCAAAATGTTAAGTGTTATATAAAAGGCTTCTGCCAACGTGTGAAAAAGACTGAAATTTTATATCTGGCATGTAAAGTAAGAGACATTTTAAGGTCATAAATGGTCTTAATGATAAAGATCAAAGGGCCAAATTAAAATGGGACCTTAAGAAAAAGAGAGAGTTGCTATAATTCTTCCTAGTTAATTTCCACTGCCTGTTTCCTGTTGCGTTTCTGAAATGAAGACGGCAGAAAGCGGAGCAGTGAGGAGAAAAGTAGCGAGGAATAATAGAAGGGGAGGCGAGCAGACAGAGACAAACTGTGAGGGGTTTATTTGTCGCGCCGTCTCTCCTCTGCACCGCGGCTCTTCCATCAATGTGATTGTCAGTAATTGCCTGCTCACTGCTCCGTCACAGTCAGCATTCAAATCGCTGCTCACTCCTCTCTTTACCTGATCCTCCCCTCCGTCCTCTTTTGCTCTTCACCTTTACCTCTGTCTTTCTTCCTTTGTGCAACCCTCCCAGCTTTTCTCCACTCTTTCTTATCTGCGCTTTTCACTCCCTTCCTCCTCTTTAACTGTCTCTCATACATCACTCTGAGGCGTCGCCTTTCTCGCTGGGCAGAAACTGGCTCTGTAGTGGGTCTACACTTCCAAAAAAACCCACTTTCAATCCCCCTATTATTCAGATGAAACTCATATATGTCCAGTTTTGTGATGTGTATGCTTGTTAAGAGTTGGAGTGTTTTGCTTTTTTTTTTTTCCAGCTGAGACACACCTTGTGTTCGTGGTTTGGCTGAACTCCTGGGCTCCAAGGCAAGGGACATCTATCATTGTAGCCGTAGCTGCTGCAGCACATGATGATAGTTTAGACAAAAGTGTGTTTCCTTGGTGGCAACAGTTTAGAGAAAGCTCTTCCCTTCGGTTCAGCCTGACAATTCCCTTCACATAAAGAATTAGTTGTCTGGGTGTGGAGGAACGTGACGGGGCCCGGACGTCAGCGCCGCCGAACATCTCCGGGGTGAATTGGAATTCAGGACACGAGCCAGAGTCTTATTGCTCCACATTAGCGTCCAATCTCACTAAGCGAGCATTCAGACTGAAAACAGCCCCGTGTTAATAAAAACACAGGGGGCGCGAGACGGTGAAATACAATCCAGGAAGTGCAATTAGACGGATAATTGAATTTGAAGGTTTATCAGATGCTAGAACGCTGAATAATTTGTTCATTAGGAAGGATTTCACGACTTTGCAGAAGTTGTTTGAGCTGTTTGTGTGCGAGCTGTGCCGTTAGCGGACAGATGACGTTATAAAGTGCTGGGAATGTGTTGAGCACCCAAGTATTTTTTTGTTGTTGTATTGTTTTGAGACTGTTGTGTTGATGCCAACAAAGAGGCTTCCTGCCAAAAAAAAAAAAAACCCAGCCCACATGAACCTGGGCTGCCCTGGTGGGATTAAGGGGGTCGGGCCTTGAGGCACATACTTTGACATTTCTGTGGTGAAACACTTCTGCTGCCCTTCCATGTGTCCTCCTCCGACTTTCTCCCTCTTTCTTGCTCTTCTCCGGTTCAGTTTTCTTTTCGATCAGACTGTAAAAATGGTCTCCTTTCTGGCCGAACACCCATTCGTCCCCTTCAACCCCTAATCTTCCCCTTCTCCCCTCGCCTCTTGGCAGCGGGGTAAACAGACCGAACGTCATTCTTTCTTTTGTGTCTCACAAAGAGGAGAGGAATCGCAGTCACTTCACACGAAGAATTGACTGTCTTTATGGACCACTGCTGCCTGGGGGAGGTCCGTGCGTGCACTTGCTTCAGTGTGCAGTCTACAAGTGGCCATGGTAACCTGTAATAATTTTCCCACAGTTCTCGGTGCCTGATATAAAGCCTGAAATAATTGGCTTTTTTTTTTCCTTTTTTTTTTTTCCTGAAGTTTATCTCCAAACAGTGAGCTCTGCAGAGACACTAAAAGTCTCATTAAACATCGTCGGGAAAAACTATCAGCCAACTGTTCGGGGATTTTATTGATCTTCTCATTCTTACACATGTCCTCTCATCGGCGTATTCTCCTGGCTGTGTTTTTCTCGTGCATATCTTTCCGAAATGAAAAGAATTGTGATGTTGTTGTGAAGGCATTTACCAAATGATAAAACCAACATGTTCCTTAATGCTTCGATAATTCTGCGTTCATACTTGAGCAAACATCAATCTGTGCTTTATTGCAAATCCAACATTCTGAGAAGGTTTAAAGCTGCACTTTTTTTTTGTTGCACTCGCTGGAAACAATATCGCTCATCCTTATTTCCTTAAAATAACAGCTGCTAACTGACACACCTGCGATTCTACAGACGCAGTAAAAGCAGTGAGTTATGGAGTGTCACATAAACAGAGCAGAGAAAGAAAGAGATCGGGGCAGAGACAAAGAAAAGGGGGGAAGGCAGATAGAGTGAGAGAGACGTGGCACAGGAGTCGCTGCATTGTCATGAAGGATCTTAAAAAACACACAGCAAGCGGCGCAAAAGGCACAAAGCTTAGAGACAGCTTTGATTCTGATACGGCGGCTGTAAACTGCAATCTGTTTGCCATCTATGCAAAAAAAAAAAAAAGAAAAGCCAATGGCTGAATCATCTGCTCTGAGGATAAAATGATTGAGATAAGCTCAGGCCTGTAAAATAGTTTTTTTTAATCCTTTATCTGATGCAAACACTCTTTATGTTCATAACAATC